ATAAATCATTTGCTTCATTGAACACATACAACAATGCATATTTCCACTGAGATCAGTGACCTTTGATGTGTATCACCAGTGATCAGTCAAGTAGAAACAGTCGAAATATTTTATCAGGTTTTCTCAATTTTTGCATGATATTTTCATACAGGACATCTGTTGTTCAAACTCAGGGAAGACTTTATACTGATGAACAAGGTGACCAAGTTTGATGAAGTTTGGAATAGAATTAGTAAAGTTATCATGCACACAATAACAATTATAACGACGACGACAACGATGACGATGACGACGACGACAACGCCGGACAAAATCTTTCCCTTAATATACCTTTCCCTTCCATCTTTGATGGTACGGGCAAGGTAATAAAAGGGACTCATTCCCTGGGAAATAAAAGGGACTCATTCCCTGGGAAATATGTCTGTTTATCAGCAATGGACTGACCTTTAGCAATGCCTTCAGCAGCATACAAGTCTTTCTTATAAGTCACCTAAAAATATAAATAGAATACTAAGAAGACACAATTATGCATGTATGCAAATATAAATAGAATACTAAGAAGACACAATTATGCATGTATGCAAATATAAGCATGTGTGTGTGTAGTCACATGTTCTGATTTCTACACAACATTGTAAAACATTTAGGTACCACTTATATAAAATTGTAATTTTATTTTCGCTCAGAATTAAATTTTGTTAATTTCACTGAAGGAATGATTCAATGAAAATAAAATCCAGCGAATATATCTTTTTTCTATATTTTACATTCAACTCATCAGAAACCAGTGAAAATAAATTCCAAACAAAACACCAAAATAATCTTTTCAACAAAAATTAATTTTAGCTAAAATGAAGTATTTTACAATAGTCTTATAAATGCATGATTACTATAGTCACCAAGCTCTGACAGCTCCACTATACATATAGTATCACTTAAGGTAGCGGGACTATTATTTGCATACTTGTTATTATCTTCTAATTGAGATCAAATGACTACGAATAGACCCAGGCAAGTATATATTTTTGGAATCACCTGACTTCAAGCTTTTCAAAGGTGTGTTTGTCATGCCCGTATCTGCATTCTACGGTGCGTTACTTAATCAAAAGTGAAAAATTACTTTTTTTGTAAAAAAAATAATTAAGCATTTATGCTGGTGATAAGAAGTTTTTTTTTCACTTTTCCTAGATGTTCAATAGTCTGGTAAATTGAATGTGTCTGGTCAGTTTTATCCAAGCAATGCGTTTTGAAAAGTAGTGTCCTGAATTTTAATTTCCGCTTTAGTCGCATTGCCCCCAACTCAAACCATAACACATTGGTAAATAATCCATGAAATAGTTTGTCTGGACACATTCAAGTTCCCCTCACTGGCATCTTAAAGCAGTGAAAATTTGGTGTTAATCTGACGACAATAAGTATACGTTATTTTTTGTTAAAGACCTTGTATTTTGAAAAACATAAACTCCTAGAAAACGTCGATGAAGTCACAGCAAAGATTTTCAAGCTTGTTTATCTGCACAAGCAATTTGTTTTCCCATCAAGGTCTGTTTTAACATGTGTAGGGACATCCAAATGTGTAAGGCTATTGGAAACCAAAAAATAAAGGAATGGGATAGCTATATAATACGATAAAATTGGCAGATGAAAACACCAAAATCAAAGATTTTTTTTCAGTGGCTGTGTGACCTTGTGTTTGACACATTCATATGCAAATGACTAATCTGTGAAATAAACAGGGGCGGAGACAAACCACTCAAATGTTTGGAAACACTCATTGTGTGTCAGAAAGCTACTGATAACACATCCTAACATTGCTTTGTCTTGAGTTAATCTTTGAAACTTATAGGCACACAGATTAAACCTATGTTGTTGATTTTGGAAAACACTTCTTCCCTTCAGAAAATCTACATTTTAACCAACTTACTTGACATTCTAGGTTACGTTGACTTTATCAGATGAAAGTTTGTAGTGCATTTCATCAATTAATAAATAAATGTGAAAATCGTAACTTTCAACACAAATAATAGTCTCGCTTCCTTAAACCATTCAATAATTTGACAAGTTTTCTTTTCCATTTTTTTTATAAGGCCAGACTTTTTTTATTCCTTGTTTCTCGAGAAAAAAAATAAAATTAATTCTTTTTTTCCATTAGATTTGTGTGATTCTCGAAGAATTGTAAGTGAGATCATTGATCGGAGAGATGAAATGAAATAAAATGTTATTCCATGTATAATCTTGTTTCTCACCTGCGCGAGACTTCGGTACTTTGATCATGATACTCCCACGAAAATGCAAATTGGATTTGTTATGCGCGAAAAAAAATGAAGATAAAAATAATTTTTTTTTAGCAATTTTTTGCGCTTACTAGTCGACGGGCACGAGAAATTACGCTGAAATAAAATTTTATTTTTATTTCATTTTTGGCTCCTGTTCATTCGGCGGGGTCGCGAAACAAGGGATAATAAAAGTCTGGCAAAACTGTGTTTTTGCATTCTTAAATATTAGACCACATATTCTGATTACCTTCCAAACATCGCCCTCTGTATCAATCAGCTTAGCTCTCGTTCCAACATAGTCCAAAGCCAGATGTAAACATTCAGTACCAAAATCCAGGTCATGCTCCGTTAACTGCAAACAAAAATAAAAAAAACGTCATGGTGTGAAAAGATATAGAATACTACAGAAAACAAGTCATTGAAAATGACAGTCCCCGTTGAACTTTTGAAAGTTCTCCTTGTGCTCGTCATATTAAAGCGGAGGGGTTGTCGCGAGCGTGTCCTTGAAACTTGAGTTCCAAGTGGCGTATACAACAGATTGTTTATTTACATCAAAACATGTGTTTCGTATAGTAGTAATATGGCCAAAAATAAAAACAGCTGTTATTCGGCCATCTTTGATCTGATTATAAAAACACTGATATGTATGATGCATGTGCCAAATACGAATGAAAATGGTACATAAATTGTGGAAATATAGTAGTAAGGCCAAAAAGTCAGATGGCTGTCAATCGGTCATCCTTGACCAGATTTTAAACAAATTGTCTTGGACATGCATTCTAACATGTATAAAGTACATGTATGTGCCAAATTTGAATGAAAACTGACAGAGCACGTCCAAGATACTGCATAAAAAAAAAAAAGATGCCTGCCAGTCGACCATCTTTGATCCAATTGCGAAATAAATCGTCATGGACATGTATCCTAACATGTATAATCTATGTACCAAGTTTCAATGACAACTGACAAAGCATGTCCAAAATACAACATTTTCAAAAAACAAGATGGCTGCCAGTCAGCCATTTTGAATCGAATCGCTAAACCACTGCATGTGCAAATGTCCCACATAAGGTACTAGGCACATGTAAAGAATGAACGGAATCGGTCCACAGGATTCTGAAATATGACTCTGGACAGACTGACGCACGGTCGAACAGACACACGGACGGACGGACAGAATCAGGAACTCACGGACGGTCGGGACATGTCCCACATAAAGTACAAGGCACATGCAAAGACTGAACAGAATCGGTCCAAGGGATTCTGAGATATGACTCTGGACGGACGCACAGACGCACGGACACACAGACGCACGGACACACAGACGCACGGACGGAGGTCAAATTATAAGTCCCCAATTTCAGACTTCGTCCGAACGGGGACTAAAAAATTAAGTTTATAAACAAAGACCACAGAAGGAAATCGCACTAAACAAAATATTAATCACACCAACAAAGAAAGTGCACATAGTACTTGTCAGCAACTTGATGTGGCCAAATTTCAATATGCATTCATAACGAATATATTTCACACCAGAGCAGTTGTACTACAACACTACCTGT